TTTAACATTTCATCAATCATTTACTCATCTTATTACTGGTTCACTTTTCACATGAACTATTTTCTTGGCCTCTATATGTGCAAGAGATTAGGTTCAGTACTCTAGGAAGAATAAGACGATCCTTGCAATGTCACTCTCACCCTATGGTTTTTTCTTTTTCCTATGTAGGGTACCCCTTGGGGTTAGGTAAGACAGAGATGGGTGTCCTAAAAAAGAACACTGAATAGAAGTTAGGCAGAACCTCACTGGTGCTTGAATTTGTCAAAAAGAGAACATCATGATGGGAATGTAGTGTGCAGTTATTATAGTCCTACTCTCATGTAGATGCAAAAAGAAGATTTCCAACCTCACCAAATAGGGACACAAGAAGGCTAGGTTGGCCACACTGTGCCCTAAGATATAAATTGTACAAGGGATAAGTTCAAGTTTAGGTAAATGATAGACTAAATTATCTATAAGAGATTTTTTATTTTTTGTACATAGAGATCACAACTATTCTTATTCATTAGAGGTCAAATGGGATGTTTCCGGGTTATGAAGTCCGAAAAAAAAAAAAATTGGAATTTTTTGTCTGTTCAATGACACTTTTACAACCAATCATTTTGAAGAATAATGTTATGGTTTCTATGTAGACAATCCCATCAAAAATTTCATATAGAAAAGTAATTGCATTCCAATTGATGATAATGTATGGATATTAAAGGCTAAAAAAGATGATATAAGCCAACCAACCAACCAACATTATAACCTAAGCCACATTAAGAAGTAGTGGTCCATTGGAATGCAATATATAGATCTCATTTGAGTGATCAAAAAATTTCATTTTTTATTTTCCAAAGACTTAAATTACTCATATTCATTGAACCCTAACCTTCACCTTGACTTTCACCTTTACCTATTGTACCATCCTCTACCAAACTATACCATTGCCGCATTATGAAATCATAGCGAAGGAACAAACCACAAGCAAAGGTTAGTTTGAGAGTTCTAATTGGTCTTTTATTATTATTTTTATCTATTTTACCATATTGCTCGATGGCTCAGAGAGCCCTAAGAGGCGGGCTCTCTTTGCCCAATACAATAATGCTAGAGTTTTAGGCTCTTATACCCGTTTATAGAGAAGGGCTTCATGTGTTTATGGCTGTATAATGCTCTAGATGTCCCTTTAATACCTCTACTCTACTATCTACTAAATAGGGTAGGGAGATCGTATAGATCTAATCAGTGAACTAGCCTTTTTATCTATTATGATTTTCAGTTTCTTAGTAAAACGGATTTCTAGTAAAACGGATTTCTCCCTTGACTCTATCTATGAAACAATTAGTGTATAGCGGATCTCAGCCTTTAAAAATTCCTAATCATTTTTTTAATTATTTATTTCTTGAATGAAATAATATTTGTGCACATATATTGCATATTAGACATGGTTTATAATCCTTATTCCAACTTGGGAAATGGTAGATATGAGCATGATGACTATACCATTTGGTTGCAGTTGGATTCTTAAGATAAACAACAATTGTGACGTTAAATCCAATTCGTGGGAGAATAGTAGTTGCTAATGAAAACAATATCCAAAATAGGAAAGTATATATTACAAGATAGGAAAGAGATATTGGCCTTTTTTTATGAGAATTTTAGAGAGAAAAGAGAATTTGTTGATAAAATAATTGTCTGACACTACTCTTGTGGTAGTTCTTTCATTGTATATATAATGAGCAATACAATAATACAATAATGCAATATACATTTCCTATCTTGGACCTTCTTTACATTAGTTGCATCCTACAAGTAGTAGACGAGATATACTTACAATTTAAAATACACACATGATGACATTCGTGGGCTTCAAACCCTGTATGTATTTGCTCTAGGTTGTACTCTCAGTGATCTAGTAACTTGGGCCCATTTAGACAAGATGTTAGCAATCATGTTAGATAGGAGTTTAATGACCTTTATGCAGAGTCAAGAAAAATTGTAGTTTTAAATGGTCATGGTCATGTCAAAGATGTGCCCTTTCAAAGAATATAGAGAAAGCAATTTTTTTGGTAGTCTTAGCAGCATTTGGACGTTGTTATATGAACAAGCTAGGTTACAAAAAAGGCTTTTTTGTGAATATTTTTGGACTAAGGTGTGATGCCTATTACGTCATGTTTGGTTCGTGTGAAATATTTTTTTAGAACTATTTTTACATTAAAAAATTATTTTATATGGTTAGGTGTGGGAATATTTTTACACCAGTGATCCCGATACATATTTTCACACCAATAGGCAGCTATTTGGTTTGAAAATATTCCCACATCTAACCGCATGACAAAAAAATTTCACATAAAAATATTTTTTAGAAAATATTTTCATACGAACCACACATACCCTTAGTCTCGAATGGTGCAAGAAAATTTGACATTGTCACTAAACCTACATAGCCCCAAGCGAGGCTTTAGTGTACAAACCTTACCATGTATAATTTTATGCATGCTTCCATGCAATTGTACATGATTTGTATAATATGCTAGCAATTGGGTTTCAAACAATTCCTTAGCACCTCCAACCTCAAATGTTAGCAATGGCCAGTAGGTGTCATCCCTTACTCAGAGTCCAAATACATATTTTTATATCTCAACTATCCATTGTTGACATCCGGTGTTAAAAACTGCTAGCAAATTAGGAAGAGGTTGGGTCGTGGTGGTAGCACCCCATACCTAGTTATCACGTTGTGGTTTTCAATCCTACTGACACCACCTACTGACACTTTCAAAACAGCTAACTTCTTAATATATATGAAAAAAAATAGGTAGGAGTCCGTCTTCCCCATTGAATTACTCGAAAAAAAAAAAAGTACTAGCAAATTGTTTAAAACACAAATACTACCTTATAATAGCTTTCTCATTGTATAATGAGTGCATGTTAATTTATTTACCATACAACATATAATTATGTTTACATAGGAAATAGTAAACATGAAAATTTAACATTTAATGGTAACAATTTTGTGTGGACATGTGAACTTGTTATCACATAAGAGATGATACTTTATAGGAAAATACGTCGTGATCCCATGATTATAAAAAGACTGAGGTGCATCTAGTGCATTGAGAGCTTGGCAATTAAGAGAGCTCGTCAGTTAGAACAAAAGTCATCAAAATATCTGATTTTACTTTAATGAAATAACGATCATGTTCTACACCTCATGAGGGCATGGACGGTAGAATTAGTAACTCGCCAAATAACACTTTGGTTATCACATGGAAACAAGGGAAAACCTAATTTCATTAAGAAGTATATGCAGCCATGTAATTTCTGCCATATATCATTCATTGTTATATTTATTGAATTAATATTTGATTTTTATAGTGATATTTATTGGATTTCACATCAGTCAAAAATAAATGTTCTCATATTATATAATCGAATTGGTGCTCATTACATGAATATTGCTTTTTCCAGTACAAAGGTTTCACAGTTCCACCTCTAGCTCTAGAATGATCTTGGTATTTATTTAGGTTCAATAGCTTAAAAGGCGGGAACTATTTACTGCAAAAGTATGATGCATCTTCAAAATCCACTATTCCAACATGGAAACCATTCCAATCAGTTTTCGTAAAATCGAACCAGAACGGTTAACTGGACATGGGCCTGGAAGTGGTTTAACCAGCCTAACCGGTAAACTGGCCGATTTAATTACCCTAACCAAGCAAGTCCCGAGCGATCAAAAAAGTGTTTAAAAAAAAAAAGATAAAAAAAATCTACTAAAATATGAAAAACATATAAAGAATGATTAAAACAAAACACATTCAAATGAAATTGAAAATTAATGAAAAAAGGGATTTTATCCCATTTTATATTTTCTAATGGCCATTTTTAAATTTTTTTAAAAAAGATGGGAAAATATAAAAATGAGTATTAATGACCAAAACAATTTTAAATCTTTACCATAATGTAAAGATTATTTAAAAATGCATTATAAATCAATTTTTTTATTTTTTAAAATTTATATACAATTTTTTTATTTTTTATTTTTTTTTAAATACCAGTTGATCACCCTAACCGCCCAAAACCAAAACCCGGCCCACAGGCTGGTTCCGATCTAACCGGGCAGTTAGCGGTTAGATGGGACGATTTTACGAACAATGATTCCAATATATGATTTCGCCCTTGAGATGTATGCCCATCAAGAGGAAAAAAAAAAATTTCTAGTACTAAAAGTAGTGCAACTTTTTAACATATTATCTCTACTTTTAAGATTTTCGAGTGTTTATAGTTATGCTATATTTTAGGATCAAGGATGGATTGGTTGGATCTGGGATTGATGCAAATCCTAACTCGGCCCCACTAATTTAGGTTAGACGTGGCTGGGGCTGGGTCTAAATCTATAAACCAATTTTTTTTAAAAAAAAAACTATGCTATATATTTTATAATATATAGTTACATATAAATACTGGGTTGGGTCGACCCCGAGCTGAACATGATAGGATTTAAGTTGGAGCTAGACCTAGACCCGACTTGGATCATATCTAGATACTGTTGTATCCATTTTCTTGGGTCCACATGTCCATCAGACCCGTTCCTACCCGCCCCCTCCCTCTTGAAAAACCATTCTAAATCGGCAGTTGGGATTGGCGATCCAACCTAGTGAACTGGTGAATTAAAAATTAAAAAATTAGGGAACAAAAAAATTTAAAAAATAAAGTCGCACCAGTTATATGACAAAACCATTCGGAGAACCAACTGATCCTTAATATTTAGGTAGGACCGGACTGGCACCTGATGTTCTTGATCCTAACCGGTCGGTTCCGGTCCGGTTTGCAAATTTTTAAAACCGTAATTTACACCATTTTAAAACTTCAAATTTCACAATAGGTGCACCAAACTAATATACGTTTCGACTGCATACTCTCCAAGGTCGCGAGGCGCGCCTTACATTGAATTGGGTTATTCAAAATTTGATGCCTTAAATCCCGCCAATAGAGAACACCAAACGTGAAGGACTTCACGAAAATATAGAGAAAAAACGCATGCGAAATCAGATAGATTTGAGAAAAATCATCTGCAAAATTAGTAGACGGCTCTTGCATTGAACTTGCGAAAGCTAAAGGCAATAAATATGAGTTTGAAAATGGAGGAACCAGCGATTCAAGAATAGAAATTTGCCTTGAATGAGAAGAAATCGTGAAACTAGAAAGTTAAAGGACCACAATGGCATAATTGTACCACAACAGCATAATTGTCTCTGAAAATGGAGGAGATCAAGTTCTTAAAATCGAGATCAGTAAAACCTCCGATGAAAATAGAGGAATTCATGGAACCAGAGAATCGAGATTCAGGTCACTGCAAATGCCTCCAAAAAAAGGGGAACTCGTCGAAATACAGCCCTCATCGTTAATGTGTCTCTAAACTTAGAGGAGCTAGCTAGAATACAAAATAGCACGTCAAGAATCAGATAGAGCAATGTCCTCTAAATTTAGAGCTTCTAAAGATCCACAATTTAGACCAGAGATATAGCTTTAATCCCTCTGCAAATGGAGGAATTCGTTGAATCAAGCGAGGAAACAACCTGTAACAGAGGCCACAGGGCCTCTGTTTCGTTGGAAACGGAGGGAGGAGGAAGGATTTGCCTATCTTGTTTCTCAAACCTAATCTCTGATCCCTTTTCCCCTTCAATTCATGTTTCTTATGCTCTTTCTCAGCTCTCTATAGCCATGGCCGATCAGAAATTTCGCTTTAATCTTCTGCAGTTTCATGCCTATTTCATCTCTGCTCCTCTGGTTTGTGCCCTATCAACTCGAGCTGATGAATCGATAGCTCAGCAAATCGCCGATTTGATTGCCGATCTTTGCTCTGAAAATGCGGCGATTAGTGGTGAATTTTTTGCTCGAATTGCCGATCTTTTATCTTCCCGTGGATTATCGTGGAGCCGGAGCCAAATCTACACAGTAAGTGAACAGAAGCGTATTTTCCTATAAATAGAATAATATTTTCTACCCGATTTTATTTTATTTTCCCTTTTTAATGCTCGGTATTGTCTTATATTTTGTGAACCGTCCTTCTATTCTTGTTTTTTTCATGAAATTGGAAATTATTTGCTTTTTTTAATGCTCGGTATTGTCTTATATTTTGTGAACCGTCCTTCTATTCTTGTTTTTTTCATGAAATTGGAAATTATTTGCTTTTAGTTTTCCATTTCAATAACGCAAAATTTATGGTTAGGAAAAAGTTTATATAAGGTTGCAACCTCAAATTGGAAAATTAAGGTGCACCTCAAGATTCTGTCGGTATTAATGTTTGAAAACTCTCTAATTGATCATTTGGACATCGAGATGTATAGATATAAAAATAAATAAATAAATAAATTTTGAGTACAAAAATACTGCATCTTGCATCGCATTATTAGGACCGTACATTTTTTAGATTTTCATGCGTCTATAGATCTACTTGATTTGAACCATTTTTTGAGTTTAAAATTTTATAATTAGTGATGAAAATATATCCTTAGGCCACCCTAAAAATTTGTGACACCAAAATTACATTATGACAAAATTTGGAGGTGCACCTTACTTTGATCGTTTAAGGTTGCATCCTTATGCAAATCACACCCTATTGTTAATGCTAAATTACTTTACTTTGAATACTGGGAAAAAGTAGAAAAAGTTTATATAATGTTGCAACCTCATACTACAAGTAAGGTGCACCTCCAAGGTCCATTAGAAAACAATGTCTTGAAGGTAGGAAAGCCTACCAATTGATCTTCTCGACCTTGAGATATATAGATATACAAAAAAAAGAAAAAAAGAGAATTTCAAGTCTTAAAAATTGTACATCTTGTAAAAAGTTATCTGAACTATCTATTTTCAAGATTTTTGAGTGTTTATAAATCTGCTCAATCTGCACTGTTTTTGAAATTTTAAATTTTACAATTAATGTTAAACATAGATTTTTCAAACGATTGAAAGGAGCTTAGCATTAATGCGAAAAAGGAAGAGAAGCCTGCAAAACTCTATGTTTTCTTTTTCTTTTTTCTTTTTTCTTTTTTTGAATTTAAAATATTCCCACCAAATTGGTTTAGGGACCTTGGTGGCATTGCTTGCAATGTTTTTCATCATTTGAGCCAAATGAACCATTGTTTTCACAAAATGTCCAAAAACATCCTCATCCACAATTTTATTCTTGCTGCACAGAGAACTCCTGAATCCTGTTCTTTTTCTTTCACAAGATTGCCAGGGCTTATATGTTTGATTTCATAAATGATGCCAAATTAAATAATAAATGTTTTTCACATTATAGATGAAATGTGATTTGTTTTCTTTGTATCTTTTGGGAGCTGCTGAAGAATCAAATAAAAAATTGATTATAAGATGAGAAGAGCAGCTATTTCTAGCAGTGTTTTATTTTAGGTCTTCATTCTTTTTTCTTTTTGAAGGGAAGCACAGGAAATATAGGGTCATTATGATACACACAATGGTATAGTATACCATACTATTTTGTGTATAGTATAGATTATGCTTTTCCAAAGAAAAAATATTACTTCTCAAAAAGTTTTACATGTTTCGAATATCCAGTTTACAAAGAAAGCCGAAATGCTGTCTTTTTTAGGAATGATTTCAATTGGACAACTACAGAGGCCTTAATTTATGAACTCTACTTAATAAATGCTACTACTTTACGTAAAACTAATGCGTTCAACCTTTCTTTTGTATGTAAGCTTTCTGGATTTCTGTCCATTTACGGCTGGCCATACTTAGCTGAATTTGAGATCCTATTCTGTACTTGACTTATGGGATGTCAATAGTAATCTCACAAACTAATGGGCTAAAGAACTGCAGAAGTCCATTGTTTATATGTTAACTTTGTTTTTGCCTAGACAATGGACTGTGAGGCTAAAATGGGTATTGCTTTTATTGCAGCTCCATTGCTTTGGTATCCTCCTTGATCATCAACAGCCTGATAATGGAACAACCAACTTTGATAACAAAGAAAACCTCATTGCAAACCTTATAGATGGACTTCAGCTACCCAGGTGAAGAAATACCCTTACAATCCATATCAACTTTGTCTTCACTCTTTGCCATTTCTGTATTTAATTCAACTGTATTGACTGTTTTCTAATTTTTAACAGTGATGAGATTCGAGGAGAACTCACATTTGTACTATACAAGCTATCAATCTTGGAAGATCCAGAGAGCAATGAATTCTTATTTTTCTGCCCCAGATTGTTGTATCTTACTCTAGAAGCTCTATTGAAGACCCAAAACGATGATGTTAGAACTAATTGCTTGGGTTTGTAAAGACTTTTATGTGCTTTCCTTTATTGTGGCTCCTTTTTCCTCTTCAATATCTTTTTTCTGATGCAATTTTTTTTTTGTTTTTCAATCTTGACAGCTTTATTGACAGTGTTAGCTCAAAAGGGGTATTTTGATAGTTCATTTCGAGATAGTCTCATTGGTAGTTCATCAGAAGCATGTAACTTCTCACAAACTTCAGAGCATGCTTCTGATACAGCTCTAGTAGACTTATTTGTAGATGCAATTAAAGGCCCATTGTTGTCCTCAGAGATGCAAGTACAGATCAGTGCTCTGAATTTGATCTTTCATTCCCTATTATCAGAATCTGGTCTGGTAAAACAATCTGGTATCCTTGTCGAAGAAGGTGTTAGCGACTATGTATTTGAGATCTTGCGATTGTCAGGTAATTCCATAATTGATCAATTCCATTTATGTTACTATGCATCTATTTTGGTTATTCTTCCAACTCTGTACATATTTCTGAGATGCCATTACAAGTATATCTTTGCTTTAGTGCTAGATTGTGTTGCTTCTAGGAACCCATATCCTCACATTGAATCCTTAGGATATGCTTATAGATTGGAAAACCCATTAAGTGAACCCATATCCTCAGATTGAATCCTTAGGTGTAGGAAATATGTGTATAGTATGCCTTGTCTTTTTATGAAAATGCAGAATGGATATGCTTATAGATTGGAAAACCCATTACCTTGCATGCTGTTGATCATTAGTAGTGGCCCTAAATAATCAGGCTGTTGATCTTTCTTTTGCATTAGTTTGGTTGCAGGGTGTAGAACAGCCTTTTCCTTCAATACTTATGCTCACTTGTTTGGGGAACCTTAGTTCCTTGTAGATTTTTGGATTATCTCGTGATGCAATGAAGTGCTAACAATATATTTTTGAGTGCAGAAAATAGAGATCCTCTCATTGTTTCTTGCATTCGAGTTCTGGATCTTTTGGCAAATGCAGAGGAGACCTTCAGGCAAAAGCTTGCAGTAGGATTTGTTACTCTGGTTCGTGTTCTCCGATATATATCAGAAATACCTCTTCATCCTGTTCAAGCTCAGGTTGTAAAGCTAGTATGGAAAGCCATCTCCAGTTTCCCTGGAATCATTTCAAAATCTCAAGCAGAGGAGCTTATGTCGATCTTGACGAGTATGCTGAAAGGGCATACTGGTGGAGAATCAGGCCCCTTCACTGAAACCTTCACCATGGCCTGCTCAGCTTTTGTATCCCTCTTGAAAACACCCTCTTCTCATGCTGTACCAGGTTTACAAGAGACCATCCATGAAGCTGTGAAAAATTCAGTTATATCTTGCTTGTCTATACCCTGTAGAAATGGAAATGAAGAGCTGCTATACTCTCTATATTTTTTGAAAGAAGCATTTGCATACTGTTGTGAGGAGGGTCGCGATTCAAACTCGGATAGCTCTGGATTATCTGACGCCTTAATAGATTTATGTGAAACACATATATTGCCTCACGTAAGAAGAATATTCAATGAAGTAGAAGACGAGAACACATTTCTTGGTGTATTAGAAGTATTTCATTCAATAATACTTAGGAGGTCTGATCACAGAGTGAGAAAATTTACAGAGACTTTGGTTTCTTCTTCCTGGTTCAGCCTGTCCTTTGGATGCTTGGGTTTGTTCCCGACACCCCAAATGAAAGAACGAGTATTTTTGATGCTCAGTTTGATTATCAAAACAGTTTTGGGGTGGGACATTGGACATTCTATAGCAGAAGCTTACTTGGATTTACCATCAGACCCCATGGAGTTGCTTTTTCTTTTAGGACAGAAGAGTTCTCATGATTCTGCCCTTCTTTCATGTCAATCTGCAATTCTTTCCATATTATACACCAGCTCATTGTATAATGAAAGGTGCATTCAAATAAAATCTCTCTCTCTCTCAACATGCAATCACATGTGTTTATTCATGTAACTATATATGTAAATTAGTATGTATATACATATATATATGTGTGTGTGTGTGTAAATTAGTATATATTTATATACGTAAGTATGTATGAATATCTCTAGTTTTTTTGGGTTATCTTTCTAGTTTTTGAGGACATTCTACTTTGTTTTGATAGGCTTGCAGATGAGAACCAGATTCTGGCTTCACTAGAGCAGTATATTCTCGTGAATATTTCCAATTTATCTTGTGGTTTGGCTGATTCTATCATCTTAACACAACTGGTGCACCTATATTCTCTATATAGAGGCTTCCTGATGAACTCTCAAATACCATTCAGCATGGAAGCAGAGAAGCTCCTATTCCATTTAATCGCTGAAGGAGGTTGGGATATGCTTTCTTTGAGAATACATAAAACAGCTCTGAAATGGTTGTTTCAGCAGGATGAGATAAGTGGCCCCATGTCTAATCAAATCCTTTCTTTTTGTAAATATATGTTCTCGGAAAAAAACCAATTAAAAGACCCTAGAAGTGACAGGCAAGTGTTGGATACCAATGTTCTTGCGGAGATAGTAGTAGGAGGAGACAATAATGGGGCATCTTTGCTTGTTTCTCTATTGAAACAACTGCAAGAAGCATGCTGTGAGGATGATAGTGCAGCTTTAATGGATCTCATCTTAGTGGTACTAAACATCTTTCCTGATTCTTCAAACCTTTTTTGCTCGTATGGTCTCTCCAAAACCATTAAGTATGTATACCATTCAAAACCAGAATCTCCCAGAACCTTAAGAATCTGCTCGCTATTGGTCTTCAATATTTTGCGCTTTGTGGATACTCAAAGCCTCTCAAATCATGAATCATGGCTAGCAATAACTCTGAAGGTAATCTAGTTCTGGATCCAGTACAGCTTATTTAAAAATTTGATCTCAGAGCTTTTGAATTTCATTGGGATCACAATTGCTTAGTTAATCATCAATCTTTCAATTTCATCACATTGTTTCTATTTCAGATCTTCACTTGTGCAATACTTGGCTGATAAAGTATAACTGGAGAAAAAAACAAACTACTCACAATTAATTTGAAGTTTGTTATCCTCACAAAAATAACCATCTCTGATAGCAATGCAGATGTTTGAACTTAGAATGAATTGTGGAAGAAAAAAAAATGTAATGGAATGTATTGCAAGGCTGAATACATACACTCTACAAAGCTGCACGTTCACCATAAAAGCAATGTGAAAGAGCCAAAAATGAAAAGATGAAGTATCCTTTTCTGTATTCTTGATCCAACTGTAGTTTTCTCGAAATTTTCCCCTTGCTTGTGGCAGTTTGCCACAGAGTTACGATTATAACTGCTGAACTCATTGCCAACTTTCATGAATACAGCTATTTTCCCCATAAAACGAAAGATAAAAGTTCTTTGTTATGGAACTTGCTCAAACTGTGGAGAATAATTCTGGTCAATTAAAGCTGAAACTCAAATGACTTGTATATAACTACAGCATCACTAAGTTGCCTAAATTCCTTTGACGTAGATTAAAGGATAAAAATGACTTAAGGACTATATATAGATCTGTCCTCATGGAGGATTATCTCATTTACAGTATTCTGTTGACTCACATTGTCCCCATTCAAATTCTACCATAAGTAGGTTCTTCATCTATTCTTGAAAATGGCATTCAAAGCAAATTGGATATAAGATACATTGTCAACCCATTTTTCCCTATTCAGTCTTTCTAAATGGAGAGAGACGATGGTGGCGGTTGGATTATTGTGCAATTTGTCTTGCTGATATCTTCACCTAGAGAACTAATCCAATGTCCTATTTTCTATTAACAGGTTCTGGACTTTTTAATTCCTACGTTGGCAACTAACACCTGCAATCATGAAGGGCATCTCCTAATTGCCATCCTCTCTCTGATGTTATATCGTTCCACTGATCAGGTACTTTTAGAAGCATCTAAAGCAATTCTCCTTAACACTTCACTGGGTTCAGCCCTTCATATCATCATACAAGCAGCATGTGAAAAGGGTCCTGCTCTAGCTGACCAAGATAAAGAGACAAGCTCTGGTGAAACCTTAAATTCAGTGCTCTTGTTCTACTTCTTCGTACTAAGAAGGTTAGAAATCCAGTCCTCCAAATTAATGAAGGTTCTTTATCTTCTTATATGTCGTTAATCGAACTAGTGACCCATCTACTTTTGTTCAGCCTGGGAGGTCTTTTACAGGAACAAATAGATTGGCACGACTTCCTGCAATCTTCTCAAGAATCGCAAAAGCTTTCAGTGATATCTGTTCGATGCCATGATCTATGCAGGCTTATACATTTTGGGTCCTCTTCCACTAAGCTGATTGCTTCTTCTTGCCTCTTAGAGTTGCTCACCAATACATCCAGTCAGAGGAATCGTACAACTAATGAGAGAAATTGCTCTGTTGGGTATATACAATCTGTGATGGCAGTGCTCGAAGGCCTGGTTTTCCATGAGGATGTCAATATCTCAATGAGTTGCAGTCTCTGTTTGTCTATACTATTGGGATGGGAAAAGTTTGGGCCAAATGAGAAGAGAGCAGTCCACGAAGATAAATGGTGCAGGTTTTTAATGGAGGAATTGGCCTTGTCACTGGCAGCTCCAAGCATGGCTTCAAGGTCTCTTATGAACCAGCACAGGCCTTTGGCTCACTTAGCCATTGCTCTTCTGAGACTGGAAAGGGTTCCCACTTGGATGAAGTCTGTGTTCGAGGCCGTTTCTCTCTCTGGAATAATCAGCAACCTTTCTGCTAGCAAAGTGACTGTAGAGATGGTGCTTTTGTTTCAAGAGCTTTTGAGGTGTGGATATCTTACCGCAGAACAGATAAGGGGCCTACACAGTGTGTTTCAGGTGACAATTCTCATCTCTAAAATTTTATGTTTTAAGTAATTTCCAGTGTAGTAAGTAGTCTAGTGCTCTTGTGCCTCCATAGTTGCAGAAACCGGTGTTTTCTTGACAATTATGATTAGAAGATCGTTAGCCTGATCCTCTTCTGGGCTTGTTAGGGTGTATTTTTGTTATTAATAGTAGACATGAAAATCATAAATAAGATAAAATGGGGACCTGGTATTGTCTTTTAAATGAACAAAAGAATGAAGGTTGAATCCTTGCAAAAAAGTAGGGTGGCAACAGGTCGCGTACGGGTCCCGGCTAGACACGGACCTGAATTGTATTTGGGTCCAGGTTTTGGACCCGAACCCGACCTTTTGGATCCAAAATTTGGACCCATGTTCGGACCCATTGGGTCTTGGGTCTAACTATTGGGTTCTGGGTCTAGTAGGGACCATTGCCACCCTATAGCTATGAGTTTCATTTTTTTTTTTTGCCCTTTTTTTTTACCATCATATGCCCATGTTATTGGCAACACTTACAGTATTGCACAACATTTATATATACTCACATATACCCACATTCCTTAGTGTTTTACGCAATAACCGGAAATTCCTAAGAAACAAATGTATTGGAATACCCGCATAACATATACCTATATTATTCGGGTCGGGTCCCGTTGGACCCAAATCCGGTTGGATCCAAATCTGGTTGGACCCGAATAGTATTTAAGTCGACCTTTTGGGTCCAAAATTTGAACCCATATCCCGAACCTAAATTCGGGTCTACCTGTCGGATCTATGGTGTGGTTTGGTCCATTGCCATCCCTAGCACAAAGTTGGAGATATGTTATGTTCCTCTAGCTGGCTTTGCCTCAAACATAACTAGATCTGTGGCTTTCCATGTACCGGTCGTATTCCGCCAAACTATTCAGCCTGGAGTTAAAAGAGTTCAACAAACTGTCTCCCTCTCTGATTGCCTTCTAATAATCATCAAATAAGGGAAGCCAAGTCTTGAAACTAATAGTTCATCAAATAGTAATCCATATGGGAAAGACCAATCCATGCAACAAAGAAGATGGGAATGTAATAAGACAAAGCAGTCCTCATGTTTCAGGGATTGAAAATGTTTGTGAATTTTGCAGGTGTGCAGGAAACATGCATACATGCTCAATACCCAAGACAAGCACACCGAAGACAAGGTGGGCAATGTGATATGCATTCCTAAGGATTTATGCCATGTAAGAGCACTTATGCTCAGCCTTATGTCTTCGTCTTCTAATAATAATAATAATGATAATAATAATAATAGTAATAATAGCAATAGTAATAGTAATAATAAACTTTTGGAAGGCATAGATGGCTTTCTAAAACAGTCTTCCTCACTCTAAATTTTGTTTCTTCTTTTGGGTAGATCAGTGGAGAATACAGGCCCCTACCCCACTTTTGGAGTTGAATAATGTATATCCACATCTTCACCTTATACCAAATGCATATAATGTTCCTTTTATCAAGCTTCCCATGATTTTGAATCTATTTTTAGTTTTCATTTTTTTTCTCTATTTCTGTTTTGGTGGTTATGGGCTAGCTTGCTCCATAGATTTCTCTATTTCTTTAATACAAGAATGTATTTTATCTTTTTGTTTGGCTTTGTCCCTGAGGCTAGTTTGGACGGCCCCCTATTTCTATCAAGGAATAGGCTCATTAGGTATAGGATTGTCAAATTCTTTAGTGGGGTGGATTGTTCACCTACATATTTGTGTCGGATCGATAT